CATCTACCCTCTAAGGGTGGTGGGCTGCTGCTTGGTACCAGTGTTCTTGCTGCATGACTGAAAAAAATTACATTAAATTGCAGTTTTGTTTCTTAGAAATCTCTTTCATTATTTTTGCCCCAAAATACTTGTTGGTCTTTAATGCATGAAGTTTCTAGAGAACACATGGTGGTTCTTCTCTTAGTAGGACTTAAAACTAGAGCATAATAGAGTTGTTATTTATAAAGGTCTTTGAAAAAGTTGGTATGTTAATACTGATGCCTTGCACAAATTTAACCTTTAGGCACTTTTTATTAATAAAATCTATATTTTTCCTTCAGATTTCATTTGGTATAGTGACACAAGTCCTCCATGGCCATAACTTGTCATAGTGCCATTGATTCTTTCTCTTCTTCTCTCCATGCCTGAAGTATTGCTATCTACATACAGCTGCACTGTGGTTTGTAAGTTGTGTGCTGCTAAGCAGCTCCCAGAGGAGACCACATTTCTGTGATGGATGAAGGCTGTGTGTATGTGGTGGGTGTTGAAAATTATTCCAAACATCAGCTTTGCTACAGATTTATGACTCGGTTTTAAGCTGTTATTCAATTTTCATTCTTCATCAGAGGAGAATGGAGTCCAGAGTGAGCAGGTTTGCAGTCCTGCTCCGGTTCAGTATTTAGGCCAATCCTGCTTTTAAGGAAGCTTTTGGGCAGGGAGACAGCTTGAGAGCTGCTCCATGCCTTAGGCTACCAGCTGCTTGCCTAATCGGCCTGGGAGCACAGTGGAAAGGAGGCTGAGACACGAAGGCAGCTGGCTTCCCTGTCGCTCCCAACTCCAAGAAGCCTGCTTATTGTTTACTGTGGTGTCCAGTAGTGTAAGTATACAGCAACAGTTTGCTCAGGGGCGGTGCTGTCAAGGCTAGCTGTCCAGTTCCTTCACTTCAAGCCAGTGTGATTGAAGTTTGAATCCATATCTATTTCTTCTGTTGGGCAACACTTGAAGGCTGCTGAGCTAAAATTTATTTTAAGACTGAGTCTTTCCTCATCTGGGTGGGCGCTTTCACAACAAAGCATGGCAGGCACATAAGGCAGATAGAAGAGAGAGCCTAAATAATGTCTGTAGATACATACAGAAGGAAAATGGATGTAGAGGACAAAGAGCATAGTCTGGGAAAGTGGAGCCATATGCTCTGAATTATTCTTCCAGTTACTTGAACTTAATTTTGACAGCCATCAAGGCTCTAAATGTGTCTTTCATCAATAATGGTAACTGCTAAGTTAGAGGGTAAAGAAGAATTTCTGATTTTGATAGATTTCTTTGTTCAGAAATCCCAGGAGGTTCTTATGCTTCTGTGAAAAATGTGAGGAATTTGAAATGTTTGGTTTTGTTAATCTTTAAGTTTTTAGAATCCATGACACAGTTTTCTTTGGGAAGATTTTGTATGCAGTTATGCAGTTAATTCTTGGATTTGAAGTAAATGCTAATAAGCTTGTTTTACCTAAGACATTTATCTGTTTGAATGTGCAAGGAATGTAGACTAATAACTGCTTATGATCCTAGTCATTTGTTTCTATAATTATTTAAATATTGTTCATTTGGGTAATTTGTTTCTGTAGTTATGTAAATATGATTCAGCTGGGTTTTCAAACATTTTTAGAAGTGTCTATGGGTCTATTGCATTTTCACAGGTGATTTTATTGGTTTGGATTTTTGGCCTGTTCATTTCTCTCCAAGTGTTTGTTGTTACTAACTTTTGAGCTCGTTGAGAAACTGCTTTGACTTGAAAGGGCAGTGACCTTGAAGTGATGGCATATGGAGGAAATGTTGCTATTAGTCTTTCTACTGAAGGAGAAGATATAACTTGCCCATTGTATGTTATTTTCTGGTAGCATGTGACTGGCAAACCAATTTGTTGCTAGCCATGATATTTTGTGGTTTATTGCTACAAGAGGATGGCTCAAGAAATGTAAGTCATGCCAAGAGGCTGAGTTACAGAAACAGGGTGAAGGTGGGTTTAGAAGAACATGTAGACAAATGGGTGAGAAAATAAACTTGTTCTACTGTTTACAAAGCAGCTACTTCAGCCAACTAAGGATTTTCTGCAAGTAATTCATCTGCTGGTAAACAATCAGTTCAGCAATTGTTATTACACTGATCATATTGGTGGCACCTGTGTGCAAACTGTCCTTGCAGTTGGTGAAAGTTTGCGTGCAGGACAGCTGCAGGTGACAGAACAGAGTTTATCCCAAGGGTATAGCAATTATATTGTGTACTATGGGGAATTTCAACAAGCAGTAAAAAGTGTGAGACAGAATATTTTATGCCTTAAAATTATCCTGTATTATAGTTTTATGAAAACCTGTCTTGTACTCAAAGGTATCACTTACTTAAATGCCACATATCTTTTAAAATGGGTGTAGTTATGTAGTGTGAAATTTAGAGTGTATGATCTTAACCCTGTTTAAGCATTTGGCTCTTCAGAATTTTGCATAAGTGTTTTTCCTACAACGCAAAGTTTAAATAGAATGCAGTGAAAGCAATGAGACTGTAGGACATATCATCCACTGAATCTCTGAGAGGAAAGAAATCACCCATCCTGATTTTTAGAATTTTTTAAAATTGTTTTCAGTGAAACCAGTCCAACCTTATGTAGACAGGTTCTTGTAATCAAAGTTGTATTTGCAGGGCTGTCATCTAAGGAGATGTTTTGATAAATACGATACATTTAGTAAATACACATCCCTGTCTTCCACATGTAAAATGTCTTTAAAGCATTGCATTTTCTACCATATTTCTAAACACATATAAGTATTGTTCATTTTTCAGCCATCACAGGGCTTCTGCTTCCAAGATTATTTAAGTTTTATAGAAGAACAAATGAAGTAGTTAATCAAATGCCCATTAACTCCTCAAATTCTCTAACTTCTGAAACATAGCTATCTGAAAGACTATTCTCAGTTGTATCTCACCATTACTGGACCTCTTCCCCATTCCAAATAATAAATTAACTAATTCTATAAATAAAAAATATATATATATATATATGCATCATTTTAAGAGTTAAACTGACTTTTCAGTAAGTAGCAGAAAACCTTCCTGACTTCACATGAAAAACTGCCAACTGTTTGTGATTGGGAAAAAATGTGCACTTTTATGAAATTTGCAATTTTCATTACTGTATTACTCATAGACTGGAATGAAATAGGCCCCCAGGATGGCTGACCAGGTTAGACACTTCCAGGCGCTTCCTCTTGCACTTCAGCAGTTTATATCCTTCATTTCAGATTCTATTTTTTAGCTATTGCAGTTATTTCAAAAAAGTGATTTCAGTGCTTCATCTTAAAGATCAGTTTTTGTTTTAGTTTGAAATTTAAAGCCTCCTTTTTTTTTTATGATAGGACTGTCTGTATGGCTTGTGAAGGTTCTGCTCCTTACTTGAGTTCTTGCTTTCCCCCTTGCAATGGGAAGCTGAAGGTGGTTGTATGCAATGGCCTTTCTGCTAATTGCATCCAATCATGCAGCTTTTATACCTTATGCATGGTCTTTAAAGTGCCCTTATCACACTAATTCTTGAATCATCAAGGTTTAAAATACATCATTAGAGAATGCTTCTCATCAATCCTCTTGCAAATCATGTCTCTTTCTCACAAATGTTTCTCTCTTCCACATAAGCGTCATCAGCCCTGGGGTTCTGTGCAGCTATGATTAAAACTAGCTTAGATCTACTACTCTGGTGTAGAAAATACCAATCAAATTTGTTTCATTTCAGCTTCTCTAGGTGTATTCACTATCCATGTAGCCTTGGGCAGCCACATGGTTAACTGTGTTCCCTATCGAATGCTTTCTCTAATCTGTTACTGGCGGGAAGGGGAGAGTCGCCAGCCCCATGCTTCTGTAGCCATCTTCAGAGATGAAACCTGAGTCTGTTGCCTCATCTCTTTCCAAAATAGGACGTTTGCCAGCATTGATGGGAGAGGTAGCAAATGAGAAAGGAAGGAGCAAAAACTGTGACTGATGTAGTGGGGAGCAACAGATGTCATGTGGAAAATTGAGATACACTCAATAAGCATTTCCTACAAACATTTTCCTACTGATGTAGCTTAGTTATGGGGTGTGAGATATGAGCATATGAGAGAGTGAGTGAGTTTAAGCTTTGAAGCATTTCAGACAGATGGAAGTTTGTGGTTTAAGACAATTTACGTGGAATTACACGGTAGGCTATTCACAGCTTGATGATTCTGCTTTAGAAGTGATTTTATGTTATAATTAAAGAGATTTGGTGAAAGAGAATAGAAGAGGCTGGGCTAAAGAGTCAAGGGAAGTAAAGGTCAAGAGCTGCTGCTGCTGTTAAAAGTATGTCATCCATAAAGATCTGTATAACCTGTAAAAGACCATAATACAGAGAATTACAGGTTACTCTTGTGATATCAACTTCAGCTTCCACTGTTGATAAATTCAGATTTCTTTGAACATTATTAAAGGCAGTATCACCATACATGAATGAGAAAAAGTGCTTTGACATCTGTATTACAGATTGTCCTAAAGTACATACCTGTCTGAAACAGAAAAAAACCTGAGTCTGTTACCTGTTTTGTAAGCGCCTCTTACTTCTATTCTTGTCAAACTTCAAATTAATAAAATCTTCTTCCATGATAATTTTTAACTAGGGGTATTGTAGAAATCATGTGTGATATTTCTGGGATGTCACCATTTTCATAGTGCGTTACAGACTTTCCTTTAGAAATGATGACTCTGAAGACAATGACATCAGCGTGAGTCACAGAGTATGGTCTGTGTTCCCTAAGGATATTGTTTTCTGGGCTTTGTGTTTTATGTTGGACTGTCTTTCCTTCATTTTTATTGATGAAGTTTTGTTCAGATATGTCAGAAATGCATAGTACAGCTAGTGTTTCCTTTATTGCTCAGGAGTTATGCTTTTCACCAGATTGTGTTCTAAGGTTTGAACTTCAGAATTGGTGAGACTTCCACTGAAATGTTATATTTGTCTTCTTTAACAGAAAGGGCTATTGCAAGGCATGAAGTCAGAGAAATAGAGCAACGTCATACAGTCGATGGTCCCCGACAAGATGTGACACTGGATGAGGAAGATGATGTGGTGATTATTTACAACAGAGTACCCAAGACTGCGAGCACATCCTTCACAAATATTGCCTATGACCTCTGTGCGAAGAACAAGTACCATGTTCTACATATCAATACAACCAAAAATAACCCTGTTATGTCCCTGCAAGATCAGGTAAGCTGCTGAATTTGGGGTGTCTTTATGAAACCAGGGAAGAGCACAGGAAAAAACATTTACTATTGTAAACTTGGGTGATCTGATGTATTTAATTTCTTTATCACATATTCCAATATGAATGAAATCCAATGCTTTCATATTTTCTTTGTAGAGAATTAATATTATTTCTTAATAGATTGAGGTTTTTGCTTGGCTACTGGAGGTGGTAAATGTCTGTTTATTGGACAAAAACAAAGCTAAAAAGGGGCAAGACTGGGGTAGAAATGACCTTTGTTATTATAACTATTTTGGCAGTGTAATACAACTTGCCTGTCATCTCCATCTGCAGTGAATGCAGTCTTAGGCAGTTTGCTCTCTGAGTAGTGCAGGCACTGTGCCATGCTGTCAGGGCTAGACTTGTGTCTTTGGTACTGGGGCTAGTCAGGTCTCACAGGTGATAAAAAACATACAAAAAAGTGCTTGTAAATAGCTTGCTCTGCAAAGGACGGGTCACTTCGCATCCATTAAAATGCTCACTAAAATCACTGTAGTACCAGACTAGAAATGATCATGGCTACTGTATTTTAAAAAGATGATGAGGGTTCAGTGCCGTGTTTTTTATTAGGCTGGGGTGAGGAAGTAGGTTTATTGGTTTACTTTCATTAATATTTCCTTGGCTGTCATGAGTGCACTTGCAGAGAATCCAGGTTAGAGATCTGAAACGTCACTGTCATCATCCCTGCCTGTAAAACAAATGTTTCTGAAGTCTCTACTGCCGGTTGTATGCTGATCACTTAAGTTGATATGCAGCAGAGGCAGGAGCTGCTCTGCATTGCAGCATGTCAGCACTGAGCCTTCCAGCTCCTGTGAGTGCATGTCTGCAGGCTGAAGCAGCTCAGCACAGCTGGACTGGGGCAGGGGAAGCAGATGCTAAAGGCCCTCCACTTCCTCTTCTGTATGTGGGAGAAAGGTTGAGGGAGGGGTCTCCATGCAGATGAAATAATGGACTTGGGTGATACTGGAATCTGTTTTGTGATAATGGAGTTGTGTTACTGTGGAGTATCTCCTTCTGTAAAATTGTTTCCTACATATGGAGGTGGTACTGTCAAACATAATCACTCTGATTATAGTCTGGTAGTCATCACTATAGTCCTGTCCACTGCACAGAACAAGTACTAAGGACCTGTGTAATAAAGCAGTGTGATTTTTCAAGATTTAATAAGCTTATTAATTATTAGTTAAAAATCGTACTCAAGTCAGCTATACCTAGTACTGCACTTTCCACCAAATTCTGTTTCTGTCAAGGTGTCTCTTGAAATTGAGGTCTGTCCTACAGGATAGGAGAGCTAGTCATTGAATAGGTATAAATTAAACACAGGCTACCTTAAATTTCTACTTCTGTTTGAACTTAATTCAAATAAAATTTGTTCTTTGCTGGCTTAGTTTTATAAAATAGAAACTCTTCATCTTCCCTCCAATAATATTGTATTGAAAAATGAAAATCTGTCTGTGCTGAGCATGTACACAGTACTCTCAGTCCTACCTTCATTTGATACTATGCTCTTGTCCAAGGTGGTAAATGATATAGTTTAATTGGGCACTTGATACTGTTTTTTGGTGGCCATTACCTGGGAGATGCTGATAATGAAGAACTTCATATATTGCATAGCTGTTCATAGATGCAGAAATAATTATTCTTCTTCAATACATGGAGATAATACCTTGCCATTGTAAGTCATAGTGCATAATTCAGGGGATGGCAGGGGTGCTGAGAGGTAGCTGATGATGTTTACTCTGCGTGGGCTTGGATTAGCATGACATATTCATGTGCCACCTTCACCAGTATAGCTCATTTGGGTGCATTAGGTGTATATGTGCCAGTAGTAACATACATAAACATATCATAGAGACAAAATTGTTCTGTTAGTGATACTGTTGGTTAAAGCAAATCTCCCTAGGTAAGGTGAAGATTGCTTCAGGCCTGGTAGAAATATGTAAATTAGTGAGTGTTCTTTTGTGCAGTTTTTTCTGCTGTACTTTTTCCAAACTACTGTAATTCTGCAACAGATTCTAAGTTCTCAGCCCATATGTGAAACCTTTACTTCTTGAATGCAGTACGAAAAAAATGATATTTAAAATCCACTCCAAATACAGTCTGTATCTGATCTGAGATAATCCAATAAGAGTTCCTAACACCCATTTTAGCTTTAGGTGTAACTTGTCCCAGCAGTCCTCCTTTCTTTTGCAGCATCTCTGGCAGCAGGATCCTGGGAGCTGCCCCCTCTTTCTCCAGGCTGGGCCATTTCTTTGCAGCAAACTGAGTGCCATATTGCTCATGTTGCATTCCTGACCTGTGTGCTTTTCTTAATTAAGTCAGAGTAGTTGTTTGGTTGAATTTTACTTGTTGCTTGGGTGTTTCAGCAGTCCATACAAGAATGCCTGTATTACAGCTATCAGGATGGCATGCCAGTCACACAGATTTTATTGCTTTTGTTACATAATTAAGTTGTCATTGAAAACACTTAAAATTAAATTACTGTTCTGCATTACAGCATGTGTTCTTGATACATTATTTTAAAAGTGGGTTAGAGAACATTCTCTCTACTGTTATGAATGCTGCAATTATCCAGTGTTTCAGTCCCTCAGCTTGATGGTTTCTGTTTCTTGGGGTTTTTTCTCCTTCAGTTTCTCTCTCATTTTTTTCTCAAAAGAGCAGCATGAAAATATATTATTTTGCTTCGAAGTGCATTCTAAAACAGTTGGTCTCTCAGAGGACAGCACAGTCATAGTGGCTTTAGTGGTACTTATTTCCTCTGCTAGTGCAGGTTTCAGTGGCTGTCAGAAGTGGAACAAGTGAAAAGCTTGCAGCAACTCTGCTAGAAGTAGAAGTACTGTCACGTACTTGTGAACATTTAAGAATTTTTCTTTTGGAGTTACATGGTCTACTGACTACAAGTGCTGCATGTGTGCCAATTGTACTTTTCCTTCTGAGAAAGAACTACTAGTGCAAGGCAGGTATCCTGGCTGTACTGTGGCTGAACTGGTGAACTCCATCTTTTCACCATCTCCCAAAATGGATTGTCAACTGTCCTTGCCTTGAGCTTGCTTGTGGTTGTTCATGGCATGCAGCCAAAGGTGTGCTGCTTGCCTGTTTCCAGCATTCCAGACCCTCTGGTTCAGAGCTAGCGCAGACGCGCTCACGCACACTCAGACACGTTCTTGCACTCTAGCGCATACACACACACTTGCACACTCAGACACTCACTGAGACACAAGAACAGTCACAGGCACACACCATCAGGTACACACAATCACACACATGCTCTTGCACACGTGTGCACGTGTGTGTGCATGTGGCTGCGTGCATGTGTGAGTGTGATTGAGTGTGTGTGAGTGTGCGGTCAGACTGTAGAGAAAGGGGCACTGATGGCTGCAGTTAATGGACAGTGATCAGAACTTACAGCATCACTTTGGTTTGCACACATGGCTTTTTCTCAGACCACGCATGCTGGTGGGGTTTTTCTTTCTTTTGGCTCACTGGAACTTGTTTTAAATTCCTGCTGTCCTAGAAACTGAACGTGTTTAACTTACCTTTCAGGACATCTTATGCCCCTGGAGTACCTTTGATGGGCTTTTTAATTCAGTGAACCTCAGCTGATTTCCCATTTACTGAAGGCTGTGAAGCAACTTTGTAGCTGATTATATAAAAGCACCCTGAAACAACTTCACAGGAATTCCATTCACATCTATCTGAACTTTTAAAGTCACCTCAAATTTTATTCAATTGGGCTCAGGTGGAGAAGCTTGCTCTGTCTCTTGAAAGCTACAGTATCTGCTAAGCCCTGAAAAGAAAAGTAAAATTGATCATATTTAACAGTATGAAGCAGTGAGCAATATTCATTTCTGACCTAAAATGTGTGAATCCAGACTCATTAGGCTGTCTGTGACCTGGAACAATTCTGACTTTTGGAATGCTGCAAGTTGTGAGGGAAAAAAAAATAATCTCTTGCCTGCAGGCTAGTTATAGGTGTTAAAAACTCAAGTTCTCAGGGGCTCAGCATGTTGCAGGTCCATCTCAAGACAGATGTAAATGTCACAGGTGTGTTATAAAACCTTCCTAGCTTTCTTTTAGCTTGGCTGGTGTTAGAGGTTAGACTATCCATCCTATGTTCATAAAAATTATTTCCATAGCAGACAATAATACTGTAAGACAAAGGCAATAAAGGATTTTTGTAGCTGTTACTGAAACATCCACAGTTTGATGCCAGGTGGCTGGCATGGGGATCTAAAACAAAAAACTTGGGATTTTGTACTTAACATTACCTTATGTTTAGTACAAGTCTATTAGAAACTGAAATCTAGATGATACAAGATTGCAAAAAGCTCATTCATGGAAACATAAATGTACACTTTATTATATGGGCTGCACTGCACATCCTAAATTGCATAACTGGTTTACTTGCAGAGTTGTATCAACCAACCATGACATTTTGGGGTTTGTGGGTGAAGGAAGGAAAGGTGATTGATATTTCGTATTTAGGAAATATCTTTGCCAGGTAAAGAAGTGTTTATAGCTGATGCTCTCCACTGAAAGTATCTTGTCATTAATCTTGGAAAGATACAGTGAATGGAATTGTGGTTTATTTCAGTAGCTGTAAAGGTAGAGGTAGTACAACTGGATTCAAAGTCCCATATTATCAGTTTGTGCTTTGGACAGCACCAGACAGACAGCCAATGCAGTTTATAAAACACCATTGTGTAACATTGTGCAGTGCTTTTCAGCTAGATTTGGCACCATTTTAATGTGCAATACGTGCTTTAAATTTTGTAATGCCACAGACTGTGAAACTTGTACACTAAAAAAATTAATGTTGCCTGTTATTAAAAAGTAGTATATATTTCTGTTAACTGAGAGTCCAAGAGCTAGTGTTCAAATAAGTAAGGTTACCAACCTCTTAAATCATAGACCATGAGTTCTGCACAATTGAAGAAACAGCAGCAGGCCAGTCTCACCTCTTAGAATCTTCAACTGGTAGGTTGTAATAAATAGTAAATATTATGCTTCAGGACACTCTAAATCCAATTGACCTTACAGAATGGTAGTTAGTGTATTGTCTTAAGCTCTCAAACTTTCCTTTTTTTGTCTCTCTTGTCTCACCTTAGAATCTTTGTGGTTATCTGTTCGTCTGGTTAACAGAAAAGATATTGCAGATGTGCAGAGAAACACTTAATTCACAGCCTCAGAAATGGCATAGCTTTGTCAGACAGCTCAGGCAGTGCAAATTTATCATCCTCTCTTTATTATCCAATTCACTAGTTTTGGAATAACTTCCAGTTACATGCTTTGATGTTAAAATATTCTGTTCATCTGGTAAAGCCAAGCTCTATCAGGATTTGCATGTCCCACTTAATTTGATCACACTCTCTGGTTTGGGGCATGTGTCTTATTTTGTTCTTTGAAATGTAAAGCTGTTCCTGTTTTTGTGAAGTTTGCCAATAAGTGCTCTATCTGCCCTCATTCAAGGGCTACTTCATGCTTTAACATGAAAGTTGCACTGAAATGCTAGGCTTAAGATGACCACCCAAAATAGCAAACTATAGATCTGGTTTACATTGAATGCATTTATAGCATTTCTGGATTACTTGTGCATTGCATTTTGGGATGGAGGAGCAAATGAACCATGAGATTTGTTTCTTATGTCCCGATAAAACAGGTCTAAGAACATGCTGTAAATCTGGTACACTTTTATTTGAGGGACTGAATATAGATCAGACCATTCTATAAAATATGTACTTGCATTTCTACCGGAAGAATTCTGCATTCCTTTCCAATTACAAATAAAATGGACTGACAAAAATATAAATGTTTGTTTTGTTGATGTTTTTGTGATAGGTTTCCTTGGACTGTCCTTCTGATTGCTGTATTCTGCTTTTTTTTTCTGATCATTAAATTCTGATGACCTAAAATCAGTCATCTGTATGCTGCAGGAAAGTCTATTTTAGGGAGCACAATTTTTTTTTTCTTTATAATACTCAAAATAGACTTTTTAATCTAATGCATTATAAGATTAAAAGCCAGGAAAGACCGTGTATGGGTAAATGTAATGAGCCGTACAGAAACACTTTTTGTTGCCCACTCTCACAGGTGCGATTTGTGAAGAATGTGACTTCGTGGAAGGAGATGAAGCCGGGATTTTACCACGGCCACGTCTCGTACCTGGACTTCGCCAAGTACGTTGTGCCCGGGCTGCGGCCGGGCTGCCGGCGCCCTCTAGCGCTCGCAGCCGGGGAACTGCAGCTTGCGGAGCCCGCGCCCGGCCTTCCCGAGTGCCGCGGTCTGGGGCTGATCTTCGCCGATTTCTCTGGTTTTCTGGCATGATAAAATGTAGTTTAGATACTGGGATTAATATTCCTTGTCTAAATTCCAAGCTTGTTTTGCTGAAAATCATGGCTTTTCTCTGAAACACTGGCAGTTCTGTTTTAGGATTGGCTTCCCATTTTGGGAAGTTTAACATACCTGTTCTCAAAAATGCTTCATATAAAGAGTAACACCACCTGCTTCTTAAGTTATGTAATTCTTCTCTACCTTAGTATCCCTTCACACTTTATCAAAATATGAAAAGTTATCTTTTGAAGTAAGTTTTCTGGTCTGTAATAGTTTGATTTGCTAGAAAAAACATTGAAATAATTATTGTGGAGTTAAATGCTGCTACTTCTAAAATTAAATTAAATAAAATAGCTTAAAAATCGTCCCACTGACTTGAAAGGTTCAGGATCATATCTTTATTCCCACTTTCATACTTTTCTTTTCTTGTCTTATTTTTGCTTCTGGATCTAAACCTGTGATCCTCAGTAGCTCAGTCTTCAAGCCTCCCCTTGAACTGACAAGTCAGTTTTGCTTAAGATGCTTACTAGGCAGTGCTTCATCTTGCACTTGGAGCTTGTGGAAAATGATTTAAAATGAATGTGGAATTTTCAGATTTCATTACATTTGACTGCACAAACAATGGTAACAACTACTTTTACCTCTTGCTGATGGTCACTCAGTGTTTTTATGTTTCTGTGCATTAAAGTATTTATTTAAATTCTTTTTTTATGTAATAATTCCTTTTGTTTAGTCATTCCTTTTAATTACTCATTTTGTCATGTACACTGATTTTTAATTTGGAGTTTTTATTCCAAAGAATGAGATGGGGAAGTAAGACCTGTGCAGATTCTCAATATAGTACATTATCAGAAAATGCTAAAAGCCACACTAGTAGCTGAACATGACCAGTGGCACCAAGTTTACAAAAAGTAACAGGCAAAAAAAGTTACAAATCAGTAAGTCAAATAAAATATATAAAAATTCATTAGTTTCCTTTCTGCCTTTTAAAAATTAAAATGCTTCAACATTAATAAATGCTTGAGCTGAGTAACAACTTTCTGGTGCAGCAAAGCTGAATGTTATTTTATACATTAATTCATAAAGCTGAAAATATTTTCAGATACTGGAACTCTTAAAACTAAAATATTTTATGTCTAGAAAGCATCTATGCAATTTCACAGATTTCTTTCATCTGCATCTTCCCTCCGGGACTGTGTTATCCTTGTCTTTGTTGTTTGTTATCCTTTCACCTGAGTGATTTTTTTTTCCCCACAACAGCTTGCTTTCTCATACTTTGGGTTTTCATTATTAAAATAATATCTTGAATACGCTGGTTGTGCTTGGCAAGGCCCACACCTTTAAGGCTGTGAGGTATGTTCTTGTAATGAACATTCTTGTAGTTAAGACGTGTAAAATATTTCAGAAGAGTCAGTGCTTCCTTATACATGGACATCAGACTTAGGTCCACTGTCAGATATCAGAAGTACCTCTTAAAATATGCTGAAAATTAAAATACTGGATTCTACTGATAACTGACAGTATTGAGGACAGATTATTGTAATCCATCCGTGTAGAAATTATGCTAATAAAAGTTTAATTTTTTTCCCTTTTCTTTTTGTCTTTAAAATTTCTTATCCACTTATTCTCTATTTTCTCTGGTAAATAGTTGGGAAAAAAAGTTCTTTGACAATGCAATTGCCGATTCATTGTCATTATTAATAAAGTTACAGTAATAACTTATGTTACTGGTAGGTTTATGTTACTGTAACTGAGACTAGTTCTTCAAGCTTGTGTGCAAATGCAGGCAATTTTACAATCCAGCACAAGCATTTCTAAGGACTTGGCCATCTGCATTTAACCCACAGATATGTGCTGTTCATTGGCTGAGTCTGCTGCTGTATGGAAATGGTTTGTTACAGCTTCCTCAGCATTTGCAGTAGTCTGTGGAAGGGGACACGTGCATGTCTCATGCACTTCAGTGGAGCTTAAAGAGGGTGAAGTTCAAAGCCTGGACTTTGCATCAGAATAATTGAAATATTCACACCCTCTCTACTCTGCAGACTCTGGGAAGTCAGAGCTGGCATGCAGACAGATGTCAGCAATTCTGCCTTAGAGTGCTCCAGTCTGAATCATTGGTACTCTACTGGCAGCACTGGAGAATCAATTGCTCTTTCTGTAGCCTTTAACAATTTCTCTGTCTGTAGTGCTTGTTTTTGGCAAAAGCAATGCCTGTTAATTTTTTTTTTCCTAATTTCCTCCTTTCTGCTACTTTTGCTACATTTCTGTTCTTCAGCTTTTCAACTTAACATTCCTCATATGCACGGTATCTGGTAGTAAAATGTACCCCTTTAAAAATCATGGTACTGCATCTTAAAACTATGAGTGCTCTGTTTTTGCCAAGCTAGGAGGCATGAATGGCCCTCTTTTGATAGAGAATGCTTTCCCAGTTTGCGTAGGAACACAAGAGAACTTTTTTTTCCAGCTTCTAGCTTTACTTCAGGGCACTTGACACACTTGTAATTTCCATTGTGATGTAAACTCTTTAGTAGTTGGATACCATAATTAATTGCCACAGCATGTCTCAAATGGAAAAGAAAATAAAACTGAGAAATGCATTGTAAAAGCCGACTTGAACATAGATCATTGAAAGGTAGCATTTGCACAAAACAGTTTGGTGGTTTAAATTGTTCTCCTGTGTTGAGAAATAGGGCTTACCACCTCATTTCATCAGGCTTCTGTTTGTACTGGAGTGCGTCAAAATTTGCTTAGGGTAAATGTCTGTGGAAAAATTTAATATCTTTATATAGAAAAGTTAATATGGTTACAGATACTATCTTAGAGTTATATTTAATAACCATAGCTGTATGCATCAACCCGGGCAATGGATGGGCTCAGAGCTCTGTCTTCCTGCTGTTAATGTCTCTGACAACTGGAGAGCTGCCAGGAAAACCACTCACAGCACTGCAAAGCCCAGTTCACAAGGGCAGGAACTCGATATCAAACTTCCTTGTACTTCCTATAAACATGTATGCGGCTGCTACACTAGTTAAGGCACTTCTACAGTCAGGATGGTTGTGTAAACATTTTTAGTATCTATTTGTGTGACAATATGTCTGTTTTGTTTGTTTCTTTAATAATAAACCCATAAAATCATAATCTTAGGCAGACTGAAATTGAGCTTGCTTTCACATCCATGTAATGCCCTGGATATGAGGATGAGAAGAAGTGATCATTGACCTTCCTCTCAGTATCATATATTCTGGGTATGGATTTCAGTTGTAGCAATAAAGACAGGCTTTTACGTATTAGATGAGAAGCTTTGATTTGTCCTTTGAAAGATGTTTTTTCCTCTTTTACTTTAGATTTGGTGTTAAAAAGAAACCAATTTACATAAATGTCATAAGAGACCCTATAGAACGCCTAGTTTCTTATTATTACTTTCTGCGCTTTGGAGATGATTACAGACCAGGGCTACGGAGGCGAAAGCAGGGGGATAAAAAGGTAAAGTACACCTAATAATATATGATGAACTTACTAAAATCAATGTGAAAACAATTTTTAAAATGCCCTGATAAAAGCCAAGTCCTTATTTTATCAGTCTTTGGTGATAGTGGTGACTTTGTAAGTTATATTCTCCATTTCCTGTCCATACTGGAGCAGAGCATGACATTAGTAGGTTGTCTGTACCCTTACAAATTCACTGTATTTTGCAATTTGTTAAAAAATTAAATAAAATATTTTTAAAGCTGTTACTCGGTATCCAGAATTATAATTATTGGATTAGGCTTATCCTTCAGTGTAAGAGGCTACATATTTTCTTGTTGAATACTGATGGCATATTTTTTCAGCAAAAGCTGTAGAACTGCTGATGCTTTGGCTTTGTTGATTATTTTCATATAATTAGCAACCCAATTTGTTCTGTTTTTTCAAAATGTAAACATTGCAATGTCTTTTTGGAAACTGTGGAGTATGACACATAAAATTTCTGTACTTCCTCCTCGTGTCTTAGGTGGCTGTAGACAAGTTCAGGTTAGCACATTCAAACATTGACTACTAATACAGTTTCAGGATGGCAGCCTCATTCAGGCCCCATAATGGATTTGTTACAGAAAGAATGTACACATCCACTGTCATGGTTTGCAGTATGACCTTTCGGGGCATGTTGGTTTGAATTTTTCTTATATTAGAAAGAAAAGCAGGGTATTAAATATATGAGTATGGTTTACAAAACTGTAGCTTGAACAGTATGGAATCCTATAAAATGTAATGAATTTTTGTACTTTAGAAAGTCAAACACTTTATACAGTTTCAGTGATGATACTTTCTTAAACTGATGCTGTTTTTCTGTAATGTTGACAGTTTAGTGTAGTGCTGTGTGGGTACTAAGAGTCATTGAAAAAACAAGCAAAAGTCACACAAAATATACAGCTCAGTCTATAAGCACCGTAACAACTAGTAATCGTGAGTAATCATTTTGTGTGCTGTCCCCATCCAATTAGTGCTTTTTAAATATTCGGGGCAAACCATTCCTCTTTCTTTCCAGTTGAGAACTAACTGGTCCTCTGTTATTTAGGCTTTAGCGCCATCTTCAGTTACTGCATTTCAGTTTGTCCAGGTATCCTGAAGCACAGCAGCATAGGAAGAGGAAAGCTTCAAGAATATGTTGAAATTGAACTTAAAAATTGTCTTTATGGAAGTGGCTAAAGAGATGAACAGGTGATGTGATATGAGATAATAAAGGCATTTTAAAAAAGGGAGATAGGACCTCATCTTTTGTAGCCTGTCTTCCTCTTTCCTGCTGGAGATCACATGGAAAGCTGAGCACTTGGAAAGCTGAGCATGCTGCTAAGTCTGAGCTGCTTCTAGGACATAGAACTTACTAAAAAGGGTGAAATTTAACAGTGTTTATTTTAATTTTGAATTATAATTTATTAATATTAGAATTCAAACAACATGGTTAGGTAGTCACTGGGAAACATGCCAAAAATCTTGTGTTGCTGCTTGGTAGACTGCACTAAGCTTTGATTTGCTGGGAAAAAGGTCATATGCATTTCTGTTTATAATGCTTGCAATGCATTGCATTATTAATTTGATGTTTTTCTACTGAAAGTGCTTTTTACATTTTGTCACTACAATACCACTTTCTTTAGGTCTGAGAGACTTAGTTGTTGTTGTACAGATTTAACATGTTCTGTAAGCATTTCAAGTTCATTTCAAGTGAAATTGATTTACTGTATCAAGCTTCTGGCTTCTTTCATGTAAATCAGGTAGTATGATTTTTCCAAAGTGTCCCTGGGGAGCTGTCCATGTATAGATGATGTAAGTTTTGCATACATTAGTTGTAAAATTCAGTAAGCTCAGAAATGGATTGAGCCAATTGAAGTGTCTTTATTCTAGTATGTGTTACAGTAGATTAATGAAAAGCTCTTCAGTTGAAAAGTAGGGAAGATCAGAAATTACCTCTAGTGAAACTCAATTGTTCCTTTGTTAGTGGAAAGGAATCTCAATGTATTTTGTACTCTTGTCCCCTCCTAGTCCATACCACAGCATTTATATAGAAGAATTCTAAACTGGGTTGTTTTCTGTATCCCTGTGCTTCCAGTCATAGTTAGCTTGGCTCCAAATGCAGGGTCTGTAGAGGCAAGGGTTTCTTATAATAAAATCTCTGGATGGAGCAGCCGAGGTAGGTGCATAAGAGGAAGTGTGGAAGGAAGTCTGTCCTATTTCAGCTTACTTAGAAAATGGCTTGTTTCCTCTTGCTTATTAACTGTAAAATAACCTGCAGGTATAAGCAAAGAAATCTTCCTTTGTACAGATGCCAGTTCATTTTTAGTATAAACATTCATAATTTAGGAGGTGCATTTAACAATAGATCAGTGCAGAATTTCCCTAGAGAACTCTGCTAGAGAAAGCATACCAATGCCTTGTTTTCCTACTTAAGCTGCAGTTTTATCTATGATGTGTGACATGTACAAGCTATTCTAAACTCGAGTTCAATGTGAACCAAGGCACCACAGTTTACTCCCTGCTTTGGCATATTATCAGTAATTTTTTCAGATTATCTCATAAACTTCACCTCAAAATAGAAGCAAATTATGTTGTCCTTGTTCTTAACCCCAAATAATTACACAGATGTGTTTTGTTGCTTTGAACAGAAACTTATAAGTATACTGACGAAGCAGTCTAAAAAGTTGTGGGATCTATTTTTTTTAATATATCTTAGATACAAGCCTTATATCTTGATTAGAAATATCATAAACACTTCCTTTATGGTGGCACAGTAAGGCATTTACAAATTCCCTGCTGTGCTAATGGAGTTCTTATTGTAACTGTGTTACTGCAGTTGAAACTCTGTTACTACAGCAGGGTATCCACGTAGACAGCAATATTGTATGGAATATTCTGTTATGCTGTGAACAACTTCTTTTCAGTTCTTCTGATTGCCAAAACAAAATTAGCCTCTGAAATGGCAGTTATTTGTCATTATTAAAATGTAATAGAAGGTTGTTTAATCTAAAACACAAAATGTACAACGTTCTCTGTTAAAAAAGATCCAGCTGTTGCAGAATCACACAATTCCTTATGGCATGTGATGCTGTATCTTTAGTGACTTCTTTTATAGAGGAAAATAATTATACTAACACTTATCGATTATTTTTGCTAGTTTTGACAAATAGCCTTTGCTTAAGTTATATTAAAGGTATATCAATGTATCAGGTAAGATCAATTGTTCATTAGTTGTAACCATAAAGGACTGTCCAAGTACTATTTAGCTGAGACAGTAGATCATCCTAATAACACTGTGAAAGCAAGGCTTGGCATTTTTTTCTAGAACATCATATATGTGTTTTTCTGTCCCCACTACATTTAGCAACTAACCAGCTTGAGATGTTAGCTACATATATGAGATTTTAAAGCTCAGCTCAATTTTGTCTTTGTTCCAGACCTTTGATGAATGTGTGGCAGCTGGAGGTTCCGACTGTGCTCCAGAGAAACTTTGGCTTCAAATTCCATTCTTCTGTGGCCACAGCTCAGAATGCTGGTAGGGAGATAAATGTAGCTTGTTCGTCAAGTACATCAGTGCTGAAATCTAAATTTTAACAAATTTCAATATGTACTCCAACTGATAAAAGTGTGAGGGACTGAACAGAGTGAAGCAGTGGATACTTGAGTGTTTTCTGTTGAAGATGGATTTACTGAAACAGTTTTGCAGTTCTTTAAACTAGCAGTATGTTACAATACTGTATCAGCGGTGCTATGAGGGAAAACACATTTTCAATTTGAAAAATCATTTTTGCAGATTTAGAGTCTTGACATTTTTCTCTTGTGTCAGACTGCAGTATCCTTCTTTGGGAATGGAGATATTTTAGTTCAAGCTCCTAAAGTTCCTGGGGAGTACACAATAATTGAGATCAGGATAAATTTATCTTTTTAAACGTTTACCAGTAGTCAATGCTACTTAGCAGAAACTGAAACAAAAGCAAATAGTGTCCATCTGTCAATGCAAAATATTTTATAATAATGGCAAAGACTTTAAAAACTCTTTAGCAGAAGAAAAAAAAAAACCAAAAAAAAACCCCAAAACCCAAACAGTTTTTTAAAGATTCTGAGTGATAGCAAGGGCAATTATTTGTCAAAGGTTTTGTTCATTCAAACACAAGCAAAGTAAATGGCCACTTGGGAGCTCCTCTTTCAGTGCCTGTTGTTCAGACCTGTCTACTCTCTGGCCATGTGGAGAAGCAGAGAATGAAAGAAAGTGCAAAAGGGAAGGTATGTTCTTGCCAGATTTCTGGTATCTAATGTGAAAGTAGAGACAGAGTATTAATATTGAGACAATGTAAATCCTTGAAAAATTGCTTGAATAGAGGCATTAATCATATACACACACACTGGGTGTTTTTGTTTAGACTATTTCATAAGTAGAGGAGTCACATTTTTAGGTAAGAACACAAATGAGAGGAACTGGAAAGGGAAATGAAGTTAGGAATGGTTATAACTTGGAATAAGTCTTGCCTTTCCTATACAAATGTCCTGTTGTGAAGTATTCTCCATCTAGGGACTAAGGATTGTTGGCTGACATCAGAACTTCATATAATTGTTCTCTGTCATTTTAGGAATGTGGGAAGCAGATGGGCTTTGGAACAAGCCAAATACAATCTGATTAATGAATACTTCCTAGTGGGAGTTACTGAAGAGCTTGAAGACTTTATCATGTTATTGGAGGCAGCTTTGCCCCGGTTCTTCAGGGGTGCCACAGAACTGTACCGGACAGGTATTAAAATAGTTGATTTCCATGGTTTTTTCATCCACTTACTGCCTTTTTTAGTGTGAATTCTTTAGATCTAGATGAATAGTTTTGAGTCTCTGCCAGGTTTGCCTCTCATCTGGATGATGATGCTCCTTTAGAAGAAACAAACTCCTTTTTGAAGATTCTCAGTTTTTTCTCTCCCTCTCTCCCTCTCTCCCTCTCTTTCTCTCTTGGGAGTGATGCTAGTCCAAGTATCCTTCTGCCTTACACAAATTATAAATATTTAAGGCTGGGGTAAAGGTATGTGGTAGGTATACTGCATGTAACATTGTGATGTGTTTGTAACAGAATATTTTTTTTAAGGTTTTACAGTGGCTTCAGTTTTTTAAAGTGGCTGATGTGGCCATTTCCATTTCCTCAGGAGCCCTGCTGGAATTAACTGTGCTTAATGCAGCCTGGTTGGCTGAGCAATAAAGCCTGAGGGATGCAGAGACCCAAGTAGATGTTTATCTTTCTGGGCTCCTAGCTACAAGAAGTAGCTCAGTTTCTAGGACCTGGCCATGCAATTTATGATGAAGAAAATATCTATCTTAGCAGGGCTTCTAACTGCAAATAGAGGGAGAAAAGGATCTGATGCACAGAACCTAGATATGTAGTATTAACAAGTTAATTACAAAGCAATAGCACTCCTTGGGGAAAATGTGGTCATCATTTTTGGTGACCTTTGTCACAGAAATTCTGCAACAGGGATGTGGCTTATGCATCATTTATGATAAGACTATAGTATCCTATTTAGATTGGAGAATAATGGTCTAAATATTAGTAGATTATTAGAAATAGACAATTGAAATTATGCAAAAACAAGATTTTTTTTTCTCTTTTATGGACAGCTACAGAGAACTACACCAGAACAGGGAGTTTTTTGGTAGTTTGAGTTGAATATAACCTTCCCTGGAGGTATTTAAAAGATGTGTAGAAGTGGTGGAGGTATTTAAAAGACACATAGGTGTGGCACTCGGGGATATGGCTGACTGGGACTTGGCAGTGTTAGGTTTGTGGTTGGTCTCGATGACCTTAAATGTGCTTTCCAACATAAATGTTTCTATGATTTTATGAAAGAAGTCTCTGTAGTTTCTAAAATTCTTAACATTTGATACCAGATCAACATCTAAATCATTAATTTTGAAAGACCAGTTTTGCTCCAGGTAGATTATATGGAGTAATCTTCTTCCTTAAATGAATGTTCATTCCCTGGGTTTATTAGAGCAAACAGGAAGAATTGAAAGAATGGATGCAAAATTCATAAACATTTAGTGAGAGAGGCTGCAGTTTTCCAACTCTGCATGTTGTGTTAATAAATTTTGGATTAAAACTTGCTTCTTCTAATCCAGTTTATCAACACACTGAGAGTATAAAAACTCTGTAAATAACAAAGGACTGTAAACATTTTTTGAGCATGTGAACTTAAAAGTGAAGTTGTTACTTTCATTTTGCATTTAGGAAAGAAGTCGCATCTTAGGAAAACAACTGAGAAAAAACTTCCCACAAAAGAAACTATTGCCAAGCTACAGCAGTCTGAAATCTGGAAAATGGAGAATGAGTTCTATGAATTTGCACTGGAGCAATTTCAGTTTGTCAGAGCACATGCAGTTCGGGAAAAAGATGGAGAATTGTATATTCTGGCTCAAAACTTTTTCTATGAAAAGATTTACCCTAAATCAAACTAAGAATGCTATACTGTTAGATTTATGGACCTAAATCTTTGGCCACATCATCATCTTAGTCCTCAGCCATGGAAACTAGATTGCTTGTAGACCTCCAAGACATTTCTTTATACGAGAAAAGTGAGTTGTGGATCACCTCCAGGGCTTTGGATATAGCTGTGTTGGTTTTCCAGAAGCAAAGGCTTCATTTCTTTTATCTAAATAATATTTTCAGTCAATAGGGAGTCAATATCCTTAACCTGAAGAAATCTACACTGTAATTCGGAGCAATTAATACACGGCAGTTCTATTTGAAAATATAAACAATCAAAAAACCAGTTTTGTTGATGCTCTTTTTAATTTTCAGAGCAATTGATTTTCATTTGTACTTCTGTGAAGAGGAAATCATTTTTCCCCAGCTTTCAACATGGAAATTTCGGTTGTATAAGTATGAGTAGTCCTAATAACTGGTTGACATCTGTGCTTTGTTTTAGTGAATCATGTCACATGATATTAATTGGGATGGTTAATCATGTTCTGCTGAGAAATGCTGCTGCTGCTGGAATTGCCCATATTTATATTATGTGGTTTTATTAAAAAATTACAACTACTCATTAGTGTTAAAATGTCATTTTCACATTAATATTGTAAAAAGTTAAAGAATCAGAGCAAAGCAGTGGGGTTTTTATTTTTGGGTTTTTTTTTTTTGATCACCACTACCACTGACTGAGGTTGGGAAAACTACAAAGAAATTTGGTATTGTCTGCAGTTCTAGTTGATCCTTACACAGTGGTATAAAAATTGTAAATTCAGTAAGTTTCTCCATGGATTCTTTGTAATAATTGTAAACTGAGGTATTGGTGAATCCACATTATGACTCTACTAGTGAGCTGTGGTATGGCTAGGGTTTTCCTACTACTTCAATACTTTTATCTGTAGAATATTTTTACTGAGGTGCTTTATAACGTGTTTTAAAGCATTGCATTTACAAAAGGAGTAAAATGCTGTAAATACTGCTTATTTTATGTATTTGGACCAAAAGGTTTAAAGTAATTAGTTTAAAGTGGGGTTTTTTGCACTGGTTCTGTTATGTGTGAAGTGAAAAACGTCACATCTACTTCCTGGTTGAGTTAACCGTTGGACATTGCTGAAACGCACTTCAGTGACCTCTCTGACTTCAATACCAGAATGTTTTCCAGGGATTCTCTTTACAGAAAAGTAGTCTTCATCCTTTTGTGGTAAGAGAACAATAAGAAAATTGTCATATGCAGTCTGGTTGGGAAAGGTGCAGTGAACTTGATTGACATAATTGTATTTATGTAACTGCCTTATGTGACTGTTGTAAATTTGTGAGTTGCAATTATTAACAATGTGAAACACCTGGCAAATGAAGTAAATTGAAATTTGAGAACAGATGTTTGGGGCCACTGCATTATAGCAAATGGCCGTGGAGCACTGCAAGAACTTTTCCTGTTGAATTTTCTTAAAGATACGAGTATTTACACAACTTCCACCTGCCTTTTCTTAAAAGTGCTTTTCACAGCATTTGATTGGAAAGGCACTGAGGAGACAAAGAAAGGAATGGTGGGAAAGGTTTAAATTCTTAAGGTATGATGCTGAAGGTTTAGTTTAAAATGACCAAGTGGAGTTTCTTTAACCAGCTTGTTCTTGTAATGAAAACAAAGGTAATGAAAACAAAGGAAATGGAAAATGGTCTGTGAACTGGATGTCTGCAGCCAAAAGCAACAGCCCAATTACAGAGAGGATAACTAGAGACTATCAAGTACATCTTGAAGTTTCTTTGTTTTCTTAGATTTTTCCCTTCTGATTTTAAAAATAGATCTCTCTTTGTTCTTCCCAAATAATCAGGGAAGTTCCTTCTCATAAGTTACCATTTATATAGCATGAACCATGCATAAGACTTCCTGTTCTTGTTCTTGTCTGTTGACATCAATAATAATGCCAACATGTTTGGATATAGGATGTGTTAGGTCACACATGAAGACGTTTTCTAGCTAAGGAAAGGAACTGAGGAGTCATACACAGAAAGTAGTTAATGGAGACCTAAAAGTTTTCATTGAAAAGCAGACACTTTTTTAAAAAGTAAAATAAATATTTATAGTCCCAGGAAAGACTTCCGCTCAGTGATAGTTTTATGTTAGATTTTTTTACTATATTGTTCTAATTCAGATTAGTTCATCTTCTTGAATCTCCTTCAGAATTTTCAGCAGAGCACCTCTAAGAGAGCTGAAGAGCTTGCTAAGTGAAAATGCAAAATATTCATCTAAGTAGGTATGTAGACAAATGCTTCTCTATTGACAAGAAAACAATAGACAAAACTTCTACTGATTTCAGTAGGGTCTATGGAAACTTCTTCTATTCTTCTATTCTTCTGTAAGCAGTTTTGAAAGTTATGTTTCTTATTTTTTCCTTCCAGGATTTAGAATTTCTTAATTATGAGTCTCCAATAACAAAACCAATAGAAAATGCAATTTTTTTTACGTTTAAAAGAGCAATATATTTTTCATAGTTCATGTAAGATAAAACATTTTATTTAATCAGATATAATTTCCTGTTCTTTGCTGTGAACTGTGAAGGTTGAGACAAACAAGAATTTTAGGAATATTTTTTAGAAATGCTAACAACCATTGGAGCGGTACTCATTTCAGTTGTACTCGGAAAATGTGATCATCTGTAGAACACAGAAGGAACCAAGACTGTCTACTTTTATATCTAGTGCAACCATTAAGGACAACTGTGAACTTAGAATAATTTGAATTTAGAACTATCAAATTGGATTTCCTAAAAGACAGTTTAGGAAAAGGAGCTTTATGGATTTTTAATAATCTGTTCTACTTGTCTTCAGTTTGGAAACAGAAACAATCCAAGTTGTTGCCATTAAAAATATTTTACGGCATATAAATATGATTTATCTCATGTATTTTCCCTTAATGACTCATAGAGGAAAGAGGCAATATGTGAATTTTTGTTTTTGCAGGCTGTGTGATCAGTAAACTATTATGCAGCCTCCTGAACACAGATCTTTTAACCGGAGTCACTGTACTCTCTCTAGAGGAGTGAGATTGGCTTTTTGCAGGGCTAAGTTCATTTGAAAGGTGCTGAGATGCTCATATATCTACATATAGTTGAGAGTAGATTTTGTGACAGTGTTCTGTACTTTCTGTACAAAAGTACCACCCAGATTTTGTGCAAAACTAGAGCCCTGTTGAAACTCTTGATGTCAGCCTGAGGCGCAAGGTCCTGCTGTGCAGGTGACTACACAGCCTGTGCCCGCAGCTTGCCTGGGGCACTTGTGATACTCTGGGCAGTACTGCAGGAGAGCAGCAGTGCTCTTAGCTCCTTCTCTTAATAATTCTGCAGCCACACAACAAGAGTTTCACTTTTATTTTGTTAGTGCATCTATAAGCAGACCCAAGGCTAGGATGCAGAATGTCCTCTGTGCACATTCCTGCTTGTTCGAGGTGGATTTTCTAGCAGTCTCTCTTTTATTGGTATGCTGATCATGGCTTCATTTTCAAACACACATTAAAATTTATAGCTATACAATGTAGGAGATGGAGAACCAGCCCATCCTGATCATTTGAAATGCCTTTTCTGGGTATTTAGTTTTTCTGAAGATACCTAGCTATTTTTACATTACTGTAATAAACTTTTGCTTATTGATGATCTCAGAATAATTCTATCTTATATTGGGAAAAATTCAGTTATTTTCTTTTAAACTTCTGTTAAAATTTTCCATTAAGCTTACCTGGCTTAATGTGTATATGTATACTTAAAGGTGTATGTGACAAAAAGGTGTGTGAATGATACTGTCTGAACTGTGCTGCTTAAGCAGTCACTGGAAAAGCCTGATTCAAGTCCACTGCCAATCCAGCTCTTCAAAATTAGAGCATATTTTATGACTACTAGATATTAAACTTAAAGGAAGTTTAAGGCTGCTTAGTTGGATGGATGCTTCCTCTACTGTAAGCCTATGCAACTGTGTAACCTTTGCAGCAGTATTTATAGAAAGAGCCTCTCTTCCTGAGACTTTTCTGGAGCATAATTATAAATGTTTGTACACTTGTACTGTCTGATACTTACATCAGCAGCTTTCCGTAGCTTCTGCAAAAGAGACAGGTTTGTGAGCATTTCTAAAGCAGCACTGAATGTAATTTTGAAAAACATGGATTGTGCTTCATGACCTTTTTATTTTTAAACACACACACAGCTAAATAGTGCCTTTTTTCCTCACAATCCATGTAGAAGATGCTTGCTCCCACTCACCCTCCGTAAATTGATTCATTTGTGCAATACTATTCCAACTTGAAACAATTTTGTCACAGCTGTTTGAGAAATAATCTCCATTTTTCCTCACTGTGCTGCCAGCTTTCTGTTGTTTAAGTGTTTCAGTTGATTACCTAATGCAAATGCTATAAAATAAAACACCCATTGGGAAGGGGAAAGAAAAGAAGTCTGGTGTCCTGTCTTAATATTTGCATGTCACATTCACATTGAATGCTTTTTTTTCTGGAGCATGTTGTTATACAGTATTGTGAACTTTGTTGGCAGCTATTGTGATTTTGGAGGGGAGAGGCAAGCTAGAGTGTAGCTTGTCTGTAATAATTTCATACAGCTATAACCAAATATATTTAGAGGCTTGTAGAACTTGCATGAGCTTTGTGACCAGATATGTGTTAAGTTTGTAGGGGGTATACACTGTGCTTGAAGGTGTCAGTGAAAAGTTACTGATATTAAAGCCAAGATTGGTAAGAACAGAAAACTGGCATTAAAATAGAGGATTTATACCTTTGTGCTTCCCTGACTGTGGAAACAAATGACCAGCCAATTGCTGTGGTATGGGAACAGCCTCAGTTACTGCAGTGCTGAGAGTGGTTTAAGAACTTGAGTAGACTAGAAATGTCATTTGCATTTGTAAGCAAGGACTCAGAACAAGAAAGTACAGTGAGCATGGATATGCTGCTGTTTAGGATTTCTGAGGCATACTGTAACCACTGCCCTATAAACATCCCTGGCTGCGTGTGCTATGGAGCTGAACATCGTCTGACCCTACCAAGCTTCTTAATGCAGGAGTTCCTAAATATGTAGTTATCAACCTTGATGATTAAGAACCATCATGGAATTACCCAGGAACTTCCACTTGAGGATTTTGATGGCTTTTAAACCCCCTTTTGTTGAAAATAGACTTTTCCTTGCTCCTGTGAATGGAAGTGGTAGGTGTAATTGTACACAGGAAACAAAGTCTCTCTGCTTTTATCAGCTGGGGGAAGTGGAGGAAAAAATGCCTATATAGAGGACTTCCTAAGGTCTGTACCTCTCTCTGAAATGATGTAATAAATACAATGACAGCCAAAAAAAGCTGCAATACAACAAAAAGCTTTATTTAAAATGACAGTAGCTCCTCATCTGAAAGCCAGAATGACTAGTGTATGTGGTAGGTATTGGTTGAACCTTTTTTTAACCGATGCTGCCGTTTGCCCATGTAATTAATCTCAGCAGTTGGAAATCATGGGAGGGGAGCAATAGAAAGGAAAGGTGGTTTTTGTTCCAACCAATTTTTTTTTTCAGATCCTGTATTTTCATTTTATTTA